TGCCCATTTGTTTAGGGATGATATGAAGTGGCTATTCTATGGTGTACTTCATTCTTTTTCAATAGTTTCCTTAAATATTTATGTAAATTATGTTCCTCCATCACTAATAATCACTATAGGATATCTAAATCTCAAATTTTGAATTTTGAATATTACTTGGGTCTTTCCACGAAAAATTATTTTTTTAATTAGGATTATAGGAATTAAAAAAAAGCTCCCTATTTTTATTAGATCGTGGGCTACTTGTATTTGTTTTTACATAGGCTGAAATAATTTATTTAAATTATAGTATCAAAATTTAGAATGATCATTTTCACCATATGTAGGACAAGTACTATTTGAATTAAATTGAGAGTTTGGAGGCTTTCTAATATTATCAATAAAGAAATCAAGTTTTTCTAAACTTTGATTAATCTGAATAATATCATTTCTTAAATTAAAATAATCTTAATGATGTAATTTATAAATCCTCTCTTCTTATCCATATTATATAACTCAAAAGAGGCTTGATCTCTAGAATTTTCACTTAAATTCTCATAAAGGCTATAAATCTCATCAAGGTTTTTCTTTATAAAAACTACTTCATATGTAGAATCAACTATATTTTATGTTATTTTAATAATCTATTATAAATAAATTTATTGAGCTGCTACTTGGGTATAATATGATGAAGACACTTTTAAAATTTTAAATTTTCTTTTCATATCTCATGCAAAAATTCTCATAGCCTTTGAACAAAACTCCATATATGTTTTCTCATATTTTGAGTTTTTTTTAAGAGATAAATTTTTGAAGAAAGACCTATTTTATATCTTTTCAATTAGTTAATTCTCTATCTAATGCGAATATCTAATGACTAGCCTTGTCCCTAAGTGTATGAGAAAATAATTTCATCTTAATAGTTTCTCGTATAACTTGAGAGAGATTAACTAAATCACAAACAATATGAAATTTTTCTAAATGTTTAGCAGATTCCTTTAAAGGTAATCTATGAAAATTAGAGAGCATTTAGAAAATTTTTGAATTTATTTCGAATTTAACTATGGGTTCTAATGGGACTCGAATATTAGATGCTCATTGAAATGAATTAAGGATATAATGATTTTTCATGACCATAAGATTGTTCTCAATTTGACTTAACTTCCTTTAGGATCCATCAAAATTATTTTTTCTTTCGAAATTTTAGTTTTAGATGAAAGAGTGAAAGAATTTTTTAACCTTGGGTGTAAGGATCTTCTATTATATATAAAAATTAATAAATTTGAGAACTGTTTTTAATAACTATTACCCTCATTTAGTCTGCTTCAATCCTTGCCTTGCTACTTTTCATTCTCTCTTTTCTTGTTTTTTAATTTTCTACAAGAAGGAAAAAAAAACAAGAGTGAAATTTTTTTGGTATACTCCAAGAGAAAAATAGAAAAATCCCAAATATTATATAATACATCCGCAACAATATCATCAAAATTTGATGTGACTTTTATTTTGTTATATAATTAATCACATAAATTTAAAATTTATAAAACTAGAAAATACTAATTTTTGAATTTTTAAAAGTATTTAAAAATAAATAAATAAATTATAATTCAATAAAAGGTTCTAAAAAATAGTGAAAAATTTCTAAGTTGAGCACAGGATGTAAGATAATACTGAGTAATATTTCAGATTTTTTTTAAAAGATTATAATTTTTAATGATTTTTAGAGTAAATAATGACTACAAAATATATTTAAAAATTAACTAAAAAGAGAAATAAGGGTGTGGACGTCAAGATGACATTTGCACCTTGTGTAATATGATTTGGGTGAAAATAAGGTTCCACCCATTAATTCTTACATAAGTGACTACAAATGATTTAATAGGTTAAATTAAGATTTGGAAAAACTAAAAGAATCATAATTGAATGAAGAAGATATTAGAAACTTTAAATCACACAAAATATCACTAAATTAATTGAAAATTAAGTTGAAAGTAGAAAAGACTGAGTTCCAACCTCGCAATAGCAATTGCTAAAATTTTGTATGTTCAAGAGGATCATCAACCAATGTCAATGGCCCCAAAAAAATCTCCTTGGACATAGATGATCTAAGCATTCACTAGATCTTCTTTCAAAGTTCAGAAAATGATAATAAAAGTTAAATTAGTTAAAAATAATAAAATAGAGCTCTAATGTCATAATAGTGATATGTCAACGGTGGATTGAAATCCTGAACTTTAGAAGGATTGTTGTGCAATGTTTATAGTCTCAAAGGCTCTCCTTAAATAAGGACAACATGAACAATTTCTTAATCTTCTTACAAAATCTAGAAATCAATGAAGTGAGTCATTGAATCATCTCTAGTGGGTGTCACCCAATGGAGTAAAAAAATGATAATTTTATAGTTCTCCAACGGCTATCATTCAATGAAGATGAGTTGGATGAAGGTGCGACATGTTTTAGGAAGCTTCATCTTGAAGTCCACACAACAAGAGGAGGCTTGTCATCTTCTTATCGATGACGACTTGTTTGTTGATCAATCAAAGATAATTGACTTAATAAATTTGTGATATTTTTATCTAGAATCGTTCAAAAATTTTATTGATTGAGTGATTTTGACAACTTAATCTTTTACTAATAATTTGTAAGAAAATTATGATTTAATTAGATAAAAATATGAGTTTTGACCTTAATAAGATTCAAACCCTTATTGGTCACCCACTTGTATAAGAAAGTAAAATAAGTATACAAATATTCTTATAAAGTGACATTATATAAGTATCTACTTCTAATAAATAAGAGATAATTTAGGTATTAAAATCATAAAATTTTCTAGAGTTGTGACTACCAACTTAGTCCTACATCAATTATATGTTGAGTTTTAAAATGAATATATAGTAATACGAGATTTAGTAATCAATGTGTCCCTTTTTTGCATGTACAACCACTCTTTACCCCATGCCCAATTAGTCACCAATGATGTGAAAGGAAAGTGATACACAAGTGTCTTATACTGGTCTATCTTTAGTCACTCAAGCCCTTACTCATGACTCTTCTCTACTATATTTCTAACTTACTTGCAGGCCCAATTGGCCAACAAGTTCTCATATTTTTTTACCTTTTTATTTTATTTTATTTTTCCTAATTTATCTCAAAAAAATGATTATAAAAATTATATTAATTTATATAAAATCACATAATTAACCAAAAATTCAGATTAACTAATTAAAAATCATTTTTCATAATTTAACATAAATATAAATCTATTTATCATGTTTAAGGCTAAAATATCATTATTAATTAATTATTAACTCATGATAATGAAGATTTATCAATAGGCCATAGTTTAAGGTTAAATAGGCTGCTATAGTTCTACTATTAGAGAGAGAATAAGTGAGAGAAACATAACATGAGTCATGTTTGTGGTCACAGAACCTTCTTGACTTCAAAGAACCCGCCCTTCTCCTCATTTGCTTTGGCCACATCGTCAATAGATACCACAACCACTATAATTACTTGATCATTAACGAAAACCTAGTCGACATAATTCGTAGAACATTGTTACTAAAATTGTTGAATGATTCATGATAAAAAGATCATGAATTCATAAGTAAACATTTCTAATTAATCAATGAACAAACTATTGTTGGGAAGAGAACGATCTACTAGAAGACGAGTCATCACCTCTTGAGAATGTACTAAATGTAATAAAGAGCTTTCTCTTGCTATGTAGACTTGAAGATGAAGCTCCCTAATATGTGCTTCACTTCTATCTAGCTTCTCTCTATCGGGTGATAGTCACTAGAGAGTCATAAAGTTGCTATTTTTTACTTCACTAAGTGACAACCATTGAAGATGATTTGATGTCTATTTCGTTGATCTCTAGACTTCGCATGAAGATCTACAAATTACCCACATTGTTGTTGTCCAAAAAGAGCCTTCAAGGTTATAGACACTATATGACAATCTTCTCAAACACTCATGATTCTAGTACATCGTTAACGCATTACTGTTGTAATGTTGGAAGTCTATGTTTCTACTTTTAACTTAATTTTTATTTTATTAAGTAATAATTTATGTGATTTAAATTTACTAAATTATCCTTCATTAAATTATGATTCTTTAGATTTAATAAATCTTAATTTGATCAATTAAATCATTTGTAATCTCTTACATAAGAATCATTTGGCAGAACTCTATTTTCACCTGATTTACATTCGTCAGGTGATGACATCATTTTGACGTCCAGACCCTTATTTTTCTTTTTCACAAATTTTAAATATATTTTATTTTCATTTCTTATCTAAAATTTATAAAAAATCTTATTCTTTGAGTAAAATTCAAAAAGATTACTTGATATTATATTACATCTCTATGATTGACTTAAAAATTTTGTCACTATTTTAGAACTTGTATTGAATTATAATTGATATATTTTTTCAGAAATACTTTTAAATATCTGAAAATTAGTATTTTCTAGTTCTACACATTTTAAATTTGCGTGATTTGCTATAAAATGACTAAGTCATGTCAAATTTTGAGGTTGCTACTAGGGATGTGATAAGTCTTCATTATCATGAGTTAATAATTAGTAAATAATATAGTTTTAGCCTTAACTCATGATAAATAGACTTATATTTGTGTTAAAGAATGATTTTTGGTTTTCAATTGATTAACGTGAATTTTTGGGTAATTATGTGAGTTTATACGATTTTTACAGTCTTACTTTTGAGATAAATGAAGAACAAGAAATAAAAATAAAAATATTACAAAAATGAGGGGACCCGCCGGCCAGCCGTGCCCGCAAGCGGGTCGGAAGCACAGTCAGGGAGTAAGCCGCGAGCAAGGGCTCGAGCGGCTTGGCTTTGGGACCAATAGGCACGCGTACGCCACTTCCCTTCCACGTCACCGGTGGCCAGCCGGCTGTGGGGCAAGGAGTGGTCGTACACACTAGAGAAGGGACTTTGCTCACGAAGCTAACATTACTATATATTCGCCCGAAAACTCGGCGTACAACCGATGCGGGACTAAACCCACACCTTCCTCAGAAGAGGTGGGGGCGACCGGCGTGGGTTCGAATCCTCCCAGAGTCAAAATTCATATATTTTTATCTGATTATCGCAACTTTCCTGCAGATCGCCGGTGAAGGATTAAGCAACGAGAATCGCTGGATCATCGGCGAAAATCTTGTCAACGCGATTCACGGAGCATTGCTACTAAAATTGTTGAACGATTCGCGATAAAAGGATCGCAAATCCATCGAGTAAATCATCTCCGATTGATCGACGAACAAGGCGTCGTCGGGAAGAGGACGATCCGCCGGGAGACCAGTCGCCACCTCTTGAGAGCGTACCAGATGCAATGAAGAGCCTCCTCTTGTTGTGCGGACCTGAGGATGAAGCTCCCTGACACGCGCCCCACCTCCATTCAGCGCCTCTCTGTCGGGTGACAGCCGCCGGAGAGCCACAAAGTCGCCATTTTTCCGCTCCGCCAGGTGACAGCCGTCGGAGACGATTCGACGACCCACTTCATTGATCTCTAGGCTTCGCGAGAAGATCTAGAGATTGCCCACGTCGTCTTTGTCCAAGGAGAGCCTTCGAGGCCGTGGAAACTACACGACGATCCTCCCAAACGCTTAGGATTCCGGTGCATCGCCAACGCATCGCCGTCGCGACGTCGGAACTCTGTTTTCCTGGTTTCAATTTAATTTACGCTTTATTTAGTGATACTTTGTGTGATTTTAATTTACCAAACTATACTTCGTTAAATTACGATTCTTCCAGCTTTTACAGATCTTAATTTCATTAATTAAGTCGTTTGTAATCGCTTACGTAAGAATCACCGGGCGGAACTCTGTTTCTGCTTGATTCACGTTCGCCTGGCGCTGACGTCATCCTGACACCTGCACCCTTATTTCCTTTTTTTTCGTGAATTTTAAATATATTTCCTTTTTATTTCCTAGTATAAAATTTGTAAGAAAATCGTATTCATTGAGAAAAATTCTGAATAATTATCAGATATTATATTACATCCCTGTGATCGACTTGGAAAATTACCGCTATTTTTGGAATTTTTTTTATAATTGATATATTTATTTAGAAATACTTCTAAATATCCAAAAATTCGTATTTTCCAGTTTTATAAATTTTATATTTGCCTGATTTAACATACAACGACTGAGTCACGTCAGGATGTATTACATAATATTTAGTATTTTTCTATTTTTTTCTTAGAGTACACAAAAAAAATTAACTCATGTTTTATTTTCTTCTTAAAGAAAAACTTGAAAAAAAAAGAAACGAAATGCAGCAAGGCAAGGATTGGAGCGTACTGAAGGAGGGTGATTAAGAACATGTGTTTGCATTTTTTCATGCTCACATAGAATAACAACTAAAAAAATAAATTGGAAAAAGTACGAAATCTATTTTCTAGTTTTCTATTAGGAACAATAGACTGTCAAAAATAGTCCAAAATTTGAAATTCTAGAGACCCTTTTCCCACATTTCAATCCCCTAGACATATATTACTGAAATTCAAAATTACAACTATAAAGAAGATAGTTTTGATTTATTTTTGACAAATTAATTATTACTAAAAACAAAAGTAGAATTGTCAAAAGTATCTAATTTAAAAATTTCTTACATCATATTACATGTACTAAAAATTAAATCAATTAAATTGATTGATACCAAAAGATACTAGGAAGATTATTATTGAGTTAAAAGAATGATTTAGTGGCATGAAATGTTGGAATACTCTATGGATACATGATAGATAACATGAATTTGATTTTACATATTTTCACTTCATGATCTTCATGATTTAGTAGCTGTGTGGCTTGACTTTTTCTGTACTTTCACTTAGATTCAAAAAATTTCTCTAGGATTTCTATAATTTGGTTGATGTGGCCTGGACACTATCTTCTTTCCTAAATGCGTAGAGGATTTTCAAATATTTTTAAATAGGAGGGATGGCATTATGAGCTTAATGATCCCTCTGAGGAGATATCCTTTAAAGGTATCATATAATTGTTATAGTGCTGTAGAATTCCCCCTTCCATGATACTGAAGGTTGTCTTGTTGATGACCATGCTCAATACTCGAGTGATGATTCTACTCTATCTTTACATTTTAAAAATTTTATTACCTCAAATTTCAGGTGGGGTTTTAAATGAAATGAAGGGGGCTTATTCAGAGCCTAATAATATACTTGGTAGAGTGTGTCAACAAGCAAGCTCCCTTGAAACCCTTTGTGAAATTGACATTAAGACTACTTTCAGGGATCTGGTTAAATAGAAATGGCATTGGTGGGAAATTCCAATTTACTTAATTCTTTTATGTACAAAAACTGATAGTTCCTTCTGGGTTAGTATCTAGATGTACAAAAACTAATGACAAGGGTCTAGGGTCTGATGCATATCCATTATTTCACAGAATTATTATTTAACAATGAATTTATTTCACAAATTTGATCCAATGTACATTGAATTTTTTATCTGCACCTGAATAGTTGTGGATTTTTGGATTTGACCGAATTTTCAATCTTTTTGGAGTTCGCTAGTCACTGGCCTATTGTATCTTTTAGGTGTTTTATACTAGGCTTTCATTCTAGATTACTCTATATCCAGAATATAGGTTTTTACACTTGCTCGGGATAATATTTTTTTCCATCTTTGAGAATTATAGTATGAGGAATGAAACGTTACGTATTATTTTTCTTTTTTCATTTCTCGCCTAGGTTTTTATATTTCTTGATATCATCTATAATAATGTTTAATGCCCTGTAGGCTCTCTTTCCTAATAATGCATATGGTGTTGACAGTGCTGGTGATCCCAAATTTATTCCCAAATTGACTTTCGAAGAATTCAAGGTTTGTTTTTTTCACAAAATTTTAATTTTAAAACATGTGATAATTTTTAATTCGAAGAATATATATTTGTGAACTTAGTAGCCTATTAGGGACCTAAGAGAAAGATGTGATAATATTTTATACTATACTGCTATTTTAGGAATAGTTAAAGTCTAGTTAACTTAGGATTACTGAGTGTGAATGGGATGGTAAGAATAAACAGATGGTTCAATCAATCCAAGAATGATTGCTAGAAAAGAAATCCAATTTGAAGAATAGTTTACAAATATTGTCTCCTTTTCATTTTAAAATTTATCACTAAACTTTGATCAATAATTCCACAAAAATGGCAAAAAGTTCTTTGGTAAAAGAAGCTAGTATGAGTTCTACTAAATGATAAATTACTCTCTTCCCATATAAACACAGCAAATATTTCAAAAACTATTTTATTTGAAATGTGATGTAATAATTAGAGTACAAATCATTATTCCAATGCAGCCATCATATGACTTTTATAGTAAAAATAAAACTACCAATTAGTTCAAATTTTATGGTTTCAAAGAAACCCTTATAGATGTGGAATGTTATCTTATTAAATTTAATTTATACTATTTATGCTCACTGACGTGACTCAGTCGTTGTATATTAAATCGCACAAATATAAAATTTATAAAACTAGAAAATACGAAATTTTGGATATTTAGAAGTATTTTTAAATATATATATCAATTATAATTCAATAAAAAATCCAAAAATAGCTGTAATTTTCCAGGTCAATTACAAGGATGTAATATAATATCTGGTAATTATTCAGAATTTTTCTCAATGAATACGATTTTCTTACGAATTTTATACTAGGAAATAAAAAGGATATATATTTAAAATTCACGAAAAAAAGGAAATAAGGGTGCGGACGTCAGGATGACGTCAACGCCCAGCGAATAGCGGAAACAGAGTTCCACCCGGTGATTCTTACGTAAGCGATTACATTCGACTTAATTAATCAAATTAAGATCTGTAAAAGCCAGAATAATCGTAATTGAACGAAGTATAGTTTGGTAAATTAAAATCACACAAAGTATCACTAAATGAAGCGTAAATTAAATTGAAAGTAGGAAAACAGAGTTCCGGCGTCGCAACGGCGATGCGTCGGCAATGCACCGGAATCTTGAGCATTCGGGAGGATCGTCGTGCAGTGTCCACGGCCTCGAAGGCTCTCCTTGGACAAAGACGACGTGGGCAATCTCTAGATCTTCTCGCGAAGTCTAGAGATCAATGAAGTGGGTCGTCGAATCGTCTCCGACAGCTGTCACCCGGCGGAGCGGAAAAATGGCGACTTTGCGGCTCTCTGGCGGCTGTCACCTAACGGAGAGGAGCTGGATGAAGGTGGGGCGCGTGTTAGTGAGCTTCATCCTCAGGTCCGCACAACAAGAGGAGGCTCTTCATCGCATCTGGTACGCTCTCAGGAAGTGGCGACTGGTCTCCTGGCGGATCGTCCTCTTCCCGACGATGGCTTGTTCGTCGATCAATCGGAGATGATTTACTCGATGGATTCGCAATCCTTTTATCACAAATCATTCAACAATTTTAGTAGCAATGCTCTGCGAATCATGTTGACGAGATTTTTACCGATGATCCAGTGATTCTCGTTGCTTAATCCTTCACCGACGATCTGCAGGAAAGTCGCAATAATTAGATAAAAATATATGAATTTTCGACTCTGGGAGGATTCGAACCCGTGTTGGTCGCCCGCCTCTTCTGAGGAAGGTGTGACGAGGGTTTAGTCCCGCATCAGTTGTACGCCGATTTTTCGGGCGAATATATAGTAATGTTAGCTTTGTGAGCAAAGTCCCTTCTCTCGCGTGTACGACCACTCCTTGCCCCACAGCCGGCTGGCCATTGGTGACATGGAAGGGGAGTGGCGTACGCATGTCTTGTCGGTCCCCAAGCCAAGCCGCTCGAGCCCCTACTCGCGGCTTACTCCCTGACTGCGCTTCCAACCCGCTTGCGGGCCCGGCTGGCCGGTGGGTCCCCCCATTTTTGCAGTATTTTTATTTTTATTTGTTCTTCATTTATCTCAAAAGTAAGACTGTAAAAATCGTATAAAATCACATAATTACCCAAAAATTCACGTTAATCAATTGAAAACCAAAAATCATTCTTTAACACAAATATAAGTCTATTTATCATGAGTTAAGGCTAAAACTATATTATTTACTAATTATTAACTCATGATAATGAAGACTTATCACTCACCAACAACTAACCATTACTAATATTCAAATAAATATTCATTTAATTCATCATAAATGGGTTACATTTATTAGAAATTTTTTTTATAAGAGAGGACTCAAATGCAATGTAAATCAACTTAGTAGAATGATACAATGGTTTGTGACCTTTGAAGCACCATTGACTCCCCTCTTCCCCCCCCCCCTTGTCCCCCAAATAAATATTTTATCCTTGAAAGCTCGATACAAAAGTGATGAAATTTTGGCTAAATTTGGGAAGCCTATATGATGGGTTTATTAACTAGATGATTTCATGTACATAAACTATGCTTTTTTTGTGGAAATTATTTATGCATTAATAGAATATGGTGATACTAAAAAATTGTCTAAGAATTATATGGAGCACTAGAAGGACATTTAGGGTATGATACCATAACAACTAGTAGAAGAATACTATTTTTCACTTCAATTAGAGAAGGAAGTAGAAGATCATGTACAAAGATGTAAATAGATCAAGTTAATAAAATGCAATGTCTAAACATTACTCTAGATAACAGTACCAATTCCAATTAGGCCTTGGGTTGACATTTAATTTCATATTGAGATTGCAACTTACATAGCATTCCAATTAGGCGATGTCTACAACTTCAAAGGATCTTTTTGGACATAGACAACTTGGACATTCACTCGATCTCATTTGGAAGTCTAAAAAATGGTAGTAGAAGTTGAACTAATTAAAAAATGGTAAAATTAAGTTTTAGCATTTCAATGATGATGCATCAATGATCTATCAGAATCCTAAGCATTTGAGATGATTGTTGTGCAGTATCCATTACCTTAAAGGCTCTCCTTAGACAAAGATGACATAGGCAATCTTTAGATCTTTTTACAAAGTCTAAAGATTGATAATTATAAATTATTAATTGCATCTATATTTTAATATCTTATATATAGATTGATAATATAATTTAACGTGTTACCAACTCATTATGATAATTATAATATTTTATCATTTATGTTCTAATGTATATTATTTTATTTATTTTATTTATATTATGAGACTAATCCTATTTGACTTTTATCAAGTCA